TTGGGTTTATTAGGGAAGTAAACAGGTCAGAATTCAGGTGGGAAATGCTCAGGATACAGTTGCTCAGTCAGGGCAGCAGCTTCTCCACTGTGCCCCTCAGGCAGGCCTCTCTGACCCTCAGCACTTGCCCTGACCTCTGCCTGCTCTGGCAGTGTTCCAAACTCTTAGCAGAGCCCATAAGTATCCAAAGGGCATGCCACTCCTCTGTCAGCCTCAACTAGAGGTACACAGCTTTAGCACCATGGGTCAGCAAACAGCCCCCGTCCCCCATCAGGTGCCCAGAGACAGCCCACTCCACAAGCCAGCCTTCTGCCCCAAAGCACTCAGCTTTACTTGCTCTCTGGGCTCTGTCTTGTGCTCCGACTCTTAGTTCTGTTATTGCTACTTCTGTGTCACTCTTACGTCAAAACTGCTCCCTGCGTCAAGGAGGTTCCGTGTGCAGGGGTCAAAAGGTACACTCCTGGCTCTTCTTTTTTGCTGTAGGAGACCCCTCCTGCTGCTGAGGTGACTGATTTGATGGAAATTGCAGTTAAAACCTGTCAGCAGTCACAGCTGAATCTCATAATCCAGTCGGCGTCTTCTCCCCACCTTCCTACCCACATGTGTTATAATTCACTGCATTGCCATCACTCATGAACAGGTACCTTTCTGTGGATTAGCCACTGAAAACGAGCAGAACATTGTCTGATGCAGTGTGAGAAGGTGAGCCCCTCAGGTTGGAAGGCACTTAACATACGGCTGAGGAAGTGCTGACTCCTCCAAGTAGAGTTGGTCCTAATGACTCGGATGGAGCAAAGCTTTCTCGGCCTTCATTTACTAATGAGACACGGCTCACGAAGAAAGAGCTGCAAACATCCATTAATAATTAGAATGTGGAATGTACAAAGTGGGAGTCTAAGAAGAGCAGTCACAGATCTAGTGGAAGGCAGAAAGGTCAATATCCTAGGCATTAGTGAACTGAAATGAACCAGTATTGGCCATTTTGGGCCAGAGAATCCCATGGCTTACTCTGCTCAAACTCACTGCCTTTGAGTCGATGCTGACTCAGGGTAGACCGTGCCTATAGGACAGAGTAGCGTGTCTCGCCGAGTTCCAAGACTGTGTCACTCCTTGTGGGAGTAGAAAGCCCCATCCTCCGCTGGGAACGACAAATGACGGGAGTGGAGTCACTTTCATCATCCAAAACACCCCACGCTCTCGTGAAGTACATGCTGTCTGTGATAGGTGTCTGTACACCTACATGGAACTCCCCACCACTTGCCTGTCAATTGGCCCTACAATGGTGGATTGTGTGCCTATGGTGCTGAAAGCTATGGTCACCGGTATTGCAAATACCAGCAGGGTCACCCAAGGTGGACAGGTTTCAGTGGAGCGTCCGGACAACGAAGGAATAGGCTGTCCACTTCTGAGGGGTTAGTCACCGAACCCTGAGGAAAAACATTGGAGGAACACGCGCTGAAAGAACTGAA